GTCCTGCTGGTGGCTCCAATTACTGCACTGGAGTTTGTAGGCGACCATCTTCTCGCTGGTAAGCTTTGTTTTTATTTTCCTGTAATAGCAATGATGGGAGGGAGGGGGGGGGGAGGGGGTGTATGGCTATGAAAAGCAAGCTAAGGGAGACAAAGAGAAGGACATTAGCACAGTAGGCTAAGAGTTCACATATCTTTCAGGTCTTTATTGCAGACTGTGTCCCCGTTGGAGAGATTTGATCACTTCCTGTCCTGGTGTCACAAGTGCAGATGATGGGATATCTCTGTGAAAATGACTGGGAAAGCAGTAAAAGTGCATATAACTAGTTGAGTGAAACCCCTGTCGGGTTTTTATCACAGTCTGAGCTTTCCTGGTGGCAACCACATCTAATTTCTTGTCCTGGTGTCACCAGGACAGGAAGCAAGGGTAAATCTCCCCAGTGAGGATGCAGACAACAAAAACACCAGAACCAGCACCACTGAATGTGCAGCCAGAGGAGGGAAACATCATATTCTGAAAGAAACATCCATCCCTTAACTTTGAATAGGTAATATACTTCCCTAGATTGATTGTAAAAGATTTTTATATCTAATAACAAGCATGTTATACTTACCTGCAATAGTTTTGCACAGAGCAGCTCCGATCCTTCTCTTCTGGGGTCCCCTGCTGGCGTTCATGGTTCCCCCCCCCCTTCCAAGTGCCTCCATAGAAAGCTGCTTGCTATGGGGGCACCAGTGTGGACTCGATTCCGAGTCAGGCTGTGTGTTTCCATTGACGCACAAAGCTTAGCCCTGCTCCCTCCTTACAGGATTTGATTGACAGTACAGGGAGCCAAAGGCAAGCTGAACACAGAAGGTTTTTTTATACCTTAATGGTAAAAGACTTTCTGCCTTTACAACCACTTCCTGTCCGGCCCATATATATAAACGGCCGGACGGAGCAGTGCAGGGGTGGGTGGCCATTTGTAAACGTCCTCCCCGCCCCCTGCTTGTGCGCGCTCCCTAGGAGTGCGCAGCACCGTGATCTGGTGCCCGCTGTGTCTGGAGGATTCCAATGAGGTATAAATTGCTTCATGATACACATCTGGATACGTTTATTAACCACTTCCTGTCCAGACGCTGTATATAAACGGCTGGATGGTGGCAGTGCAGGGGCGGGTTGCCGTTCATAAATGGCGCCCCCGTCGTTTTGGATTGTGCGCGCTCCCCGGGAGCGTGCGGCATCGCGATCTGGTGCCCGCTGGGTCCTCCGGACACACTGATTGTTGTACAGGACCTCTGTGTGAGGTCCCGATCTTGTGATCACTGATTGGCCGATCAGTGATCACATGAAGCGTTGTAAGCAAGATGTCACTTCTGACATCATTGCTTACTACGTGTGAAATCTGTGAATGATCACAGAGATCACATGGCTATTCCCAACAGCCTTGTACCATGTGACAAGCTGTGACCAATCACAGCTCACACAGTATTTCTCAATGGCTGTAGGAATGCAGCCAGAGAGGAGAAACGATTGCTTTTACAGCCTTTATGGATGTAAAAGCAATCAGTGTAAAAAAAAAAAAAAAAAATCTTCATCACCCCCAAGTAGTGCAGTGTCACTATGGTGACACTGTACTGCTAGGGTGACAGTATGTAAAAAACATAAGTAATAATATAAAAAAAAATAAAAATGTAAAACAAAATTTAGAAAAATTATAATTTTTGGTTATAAACTAATTTGTTTTTTTTTTTTTTTCTAAAAAGATTGAATACATTTTGGCCAAGATCTATGAAGAAAGATTATTTATGTGCAAAATTTTAAAAACACATTTTAAAAATTTTTTGGACTTTTTCATTTATATAGCAAAAGAAATAAAAATCCCAGTGGTGAATAAATTCCACCAAAATAAAGTTTTATCTGTCTCAAAAAATGCTAAATAATTCATATGGGTACAGTGTTGCATGACCGCGCAATTGTCATTCAAAGTGTGATAGCGGTGAAAGCTGAAAATTGGCCTGGACTGGAAGGGGGTGAAAGTGTCCGGACTGGAAGGGGGTGAAAGTGTCCGGACTGGAAGGGGGTGAAAGTGTCCGGACTGGAAGTGGTTAAAGCAAAACTCCAGGTTTTACCCCCCTCGCCTGCCTCCCACTGTATTCCTTATTTTAAAAAAAAAACTTATACATATACATGCCTTTTTCCTGCAGTCCACTAGCGGTGGCAGGAGGGCTGATATAGGAGAGCAGAACATCATGTAATGAAGTGTGGGTGCTGCTTAGTCCTGCAGTACTGTAAGGCTCTGATGAAGAAGAGATCGCTCCTCGAAATGCATCAGCCATTTCCAAGTGTTGTTTTCACATGTGGGACTCGTGCATCTTTTCAGACCATGGACCATTGTTGGTCATGATATGCCTGTTTACATTTGTTGTTTGTGAGTACGCATCTGCTACTTTTTACGATGAAAATTTTTATTGAGGTAATGCGCAAAGCTTGTGCGCCCCTTTTCTTTTCCTATTTTCTAGTACTGTAAGCCTGGCCTGCTTGATGACGTGCCCCTTAGATCAGTGGTCCTCAACCTTTCTGAGACCAGGGCCTAGTGCATTCCTCCAAAACCCTCTGTGCCCCTACAGTCACAAAAAGTGTATCCACACACAATAAAATGATTGAAACACAAAATATTTGGAGGGTTCTTGATGGGGCTGAGTGTCCACTGTGGTGGGGATGAAGATTCTGGGGGGGTTAGGAGACTCTACAGCAGACTCGTTGATCCTGTAGAGTATGAGGTTTCTACAAGGAGCCGGGAACAACTGTGAGGGATGGGTCTTTGAAGGGGGGCTAGGGGTCTTTCCAGGAAACTGAGGGTTTTGCAGGGGAAATGTGAGAGATTGGAGGGCACTGTGGGACTTTGAGGGGCTGGAGGCTCTGCAGCAAGCTAGGTGGCACTGTTGGGGGCTAGGTGGCACTGTTGGGGGCTAGGTGGCACTGTGGGAGTTTGGTGGGCACCGCGGGGGTTTAGGGCTCGAGGGTATTGCAAGCCACTATGGAAGGTTGGGTGACACTATGGGAGCTGCAAGGTACTGTGGGAGAATAGGGGATCTGCAGCTAGGTGGAGGTCTGAAATTAAGGAGGCCATGCACGACCCAGCAGTTGTTGAGTACCACTGCCCTATAGGATGTGTAAAGAACAGGCTGGGCTCACAGAAAATGGGCAGAATAACATGACTGTCATTTAGCTACGAAGAGGACGGTCAGCGCTGGGCCAAGGAGAAAGGCAGGGAGTGTGGAAAGGTAAAGAAGTATAAATTGGGATATACAGGTAGAGGGTAGAAAGCAAAATTGGAGTTCTACTCTAACGATTCAGATATATCATTGCAAACAACAGACCAATGTTTACTATACAATATCAATTAATTAAAAAAAAGGATTTATTGTTCATTCTTCCATAAGCTTCTTCTTGTGTTCTAGGTGAAGGGCCTAGCCTTACCGTCTACAGTATAGAAGCCAACGGCGCTAACCGACCAAGAATTCAGCAAAATGTGCTGGGAAGTTACGCTATACATGGCATAAAGCCTACCTCCACATCATGCCGGGCACAAGATGTATGCCAGCTTTGTGTCTTCGGGAGCAAAGGGCTGGCTGTCCTGGAGTTCAGCATCGCCGATCGACAAGTAAACCTGTCCCAAGTCTGTTGCCTTCGGCGACTTCACGACTGGATATGGGATGTTCAGTGGCTTGATGAAGGACCTCAAGCAGCGGCCTACTTGGGCTTAGCCTTGGGCCACAATTCAGTGGCTCTTTATGATTATAAGCGTGGGAGGGTCTTGAAGGAAGTACACTGTGCTGAGAAATGCATCTTGTATTCGGCCCATTTTGTGGGCAAAACCTGGGAGGAGCTTACTCTGATTTCTGGGACGGTTTTCAACCAACTGGTTATTTGGGGGATGTGCGACCAAACCAATGATGAAGACAGAGTGGAGCCTCGAAGAAGGGTATGCGGCCATAAAGGTGTGATATTTAGCATCTTCTATGAAAAAGTTAAAGGTATGTTGGCTTCGGCTTCTGATGACCGTAGCCTCAGGGTGTGGAAGGCTGGAGATCTTGCAGACCCTAAATCAGACATTCAGTGCCTCCTAGTGTTGTATGGACACCAGTCCCGGGTGTGGTCTGTCAGACTTCTCCAAGAAAACATCGTCAGCATTGGAGAGGACTCAGCTTGTATTGTCTGGAACTATACTGGTGAAATTGTTCAAAACTTCAAAGGCCACAAAGGTCGCGGCATCAGGGCAGTCGCTGTTCAGGACCAGCTTGGTTGGGTGGTGACAGGCGGAGCAGACTCTGGTATTAGGCTTTGGCAAATAAAAGGCAGATCGCCTTCATCTAATGGGCTTGTAAACTTACATTTTAATTCCCCCCGAAAGAATCGAAGCTCCAAAGGCGATTGCAATGATCGATACAAACTGTCTTGTTGTAATGACAGACATGGGTTCCATATACATGAATGACTTTATAAGCAATCAATGGACTTTTGTCCTGGAGGATGAGAACTATCGCTCATATAGTCTCCTGGAGGCGTTCAAATCTTCAAAGAACATTCTGTGTGCCTTTGGCAATATAGCAGGGAGTGTTAAGATATTCTCCTTGCCCTTTGGTGGTAGTTGCCCAGAGCTTAAGCTGTATGATGGCAAAGTCCACAGCTTGACCTGGGTTCCATCGCCATGCTCATCGCCAGACAGGTGTCATCTTTTCACTTCAGGTCCCAATGGAGTTATGATCTGGCTTGAAGTCACATGTGTTTCGGGCAACATCAACTCCATCTCGGAGAAGGGTTGTTTCAATTTGCCAACCTGCAAGCAACGGTGGCACACAAGCATGGCTTTTGTGCCTGCAGAAAATGTGATAGTTTGTGGTGACCGTAGAGGGTCGCTGATGCTGTTTCCAGTGAAGGTTGCTGGAATATGTCAAGATAAAGATTCAACAGGTACAACTTCAACAAGTGATTGTCCACCATCTACTGGTCCCTCAGTAGATTCAGTTGCTCTGGAGGGATGCTTGTTTCCTATTCTGTTAAGTCCACCAAGACAAACAGAAGATCCTCTTTTTGTTCTGTATGGAATTCATGGTAAATTAGGGGTAACCTCAGTCACCTACCATGATGGTTTTGTGTATAGCACAGGCCGTGATGGGCTCTATCGCCAGCTGAAGATTGAAGGAGGCCAGCTAATCGTACTCCGCAAACTGAAGTCTTGCAAGGGCATGGAATGGATTGAGCGTCTATCATTTATGCTGGATGGCAACTTACAGATTCTTGGCTTCCATTCCACTGACTTTGTGGTCTGGAACTCTAAAACCAACGAGAAGCTCCATTGTGTTCCATGCGGAGGAGGACACCGATCTTGGAGCTACAAGAAGGAAGGTCCTAGAGACGTTTTTGCCTACATTAAATCTGGTGATATATTTGCCTACCAGAGCCAGCCGTTAGAAACCATACAAAGTGTGCTAAAGGAGCCGTTGCATGGCCGAGAATTGACTTGCATTAAGTATGCTGGAAATGTGAAACTCAAGGGGAAACACATCCACATTTTGATTACAAGCAGTGAGGATACAACCGTTAATGTTTTTAGCTTTTAATGAGGTTTCCAAAGAGATTTGGCAGCTTTCAACCATTAGTGACCACCTGTCTAGTGTGAGGACGTTGGCTTTGACCCAAACTAAATCTCAGCCACTGGAGAATGGCATCCTTTCTTGTGTGCTCTTCACCGCCGGGGGTAGAGCACAGATAGAGTGTTACCGACTTCTGGTCCAAGCACAGGAGGATGTAGGTACCGTGACATGCCAGGTCATCCACTTGGCCTCCCACAGGCTGGACGAACATTGGGACAGGATGAAGAATAAGCATCGGATGATAAAGGTGGACCCAGAAACCAGGTGATTGTTGATAGTGGAGTTGACTTTGTAAAAGGAAACCCTTTAGTTATGTTAATATGGTGGCTTCAGGGGCATATCTACACGGGTCACAATTGCATCCGGCCCCATGCTCCAGGGGGCCCATGTGGCTCCCTTGTACACCTGGATAGGAGCAGGTGCGGCACATAGAAGAACCAATCCTGTCCATCTTCCTCCTGCAGTCACTGAAAGCCTACTTCTCCCTCCCACATGCCTTCAGTGGCTGCAAGAGGAACATGGAGGGGATTGGTTCTACTATATGCTGCCCTTCCTATCCAGCTTCCTCTTCTTCCCCCCAGGCCTCTAAGTGCTTCCCTGACCCTTCCCTCGTCCCCCCATAGCTGTGCTGGCTTCCCCCCTCCCCTCTGCTGCCAGCTGCTGCTGAGGATGTGTCAGGATAGAGAGCAGGGAAGGAACCTCGTAAATATGCAATTTACCGGCCCCTTCCTTTGTGAATGGACAGAGTCAGTGATTGTTACCAATCACTGACTCTGTACGTTTATAAGTGAAGGATAGCAAACTGTGTTTCCTATGCTTTAGTTTGTAAATGAAGATGCTCTGTACAGAGCTATTCCTGTCCATTTATTTTCTGCAGCTGAGGTTGCAGAGATTGAGATTGAGGGCTTTGTCCTCAATCGTTTGTTCTCTGTCTTGAAGATCTGTTTAGACTCCTGATGTCTCACCAAAGCCCCCCAACAGGGCTCCTAAAAGAATTTAAAAAAAAAGAAATAGTAAAAAAAAAAAAAAAAGAAAAATATTAAGAAAATAAAATAAAAATATACAGACACCAGTGGTGGAACTACCAGGGTCGCAAAAGTCGCACTTCCGAACAGGACTGGTCTCCAATCAAGCTCGGAGGGAAGGGCCCCAGCCGTGGGTCAGGGGGGCACTTTATGGCTTCTTACATGGGGGCCCCAAAAGTTCTAGTTATGCCTCTAGGTGTCTTCCATTGCTAATGATTAGGAATAGTAGTTCCCTGGATCTCTCAGTCTTCAGTACCTTCTGAAATGTCAAAGTAATGTCAAAACTTCAGATCCGCATACTTATGCCAGGTCAGTTCCTCAGAAAGTACAGAAGATACTCGATTCATATGACAGCCAGAACACTAGAAGTTGTTTCTTTAGACAGTGGCCCCCGTCACAGTAGAATAGCCTGTCCCCTGTCGGCATGCTGTGTGTGGAAGCAGAGGACCAAACTAACCCCTGCTGGGTCATACCTAAACCTCTCCAATTAGCAAAACCCATGCTCCCTGCTGATTAGAGAGCTCCAGAAGGGGGACCTGCCAGACCTCCACAGAGAGACCACGCAGCGCCGTATCGCAAAAAAATGGCCTGGTCAGGAAGGGGGGTAAATCCTCTGGTGGGCAAGTGGTTAAGGTTAAAAACCTTGAACCTTTTTATATGCCAGCAGTGTAAAAATCTTGCAATCAGCTTCTTGCAGTCCTTGTACAGCAGAACTCAGAGAGGAGAGGGGAGAAGCAGCATAAGGAGACAGTTGTGCTGCAGTGGAAGGAGCATGCTAGCAGGAGGAGAGAGCAGAGTGACCGTGAGATCAGCTTCTCTTTTTTGCTGCTTCTTCTTTCACTGTCCAGTCACAGGGTGGAGGTAGGGAGGAGACCTCTAAGTGAAAGTAAAACTGCATCAGAGAAAGGCCCTGGTGGACATGGCTGGGCTGTGTAGCAGAGCTGTGTAAATCACAGGACTAGATGGACAGAAACACAAATTATTTGGCAAAACAGCTCCTTTACATATATTTCATCTGTGTGTTTTAGCTGTTTGCCTGGAGTTCAGATTTAAAGTGGAATTACATTTGTAACTGAATATGAAATATGATCAGAGAAAGAACAATAGTAATCTGTAACTTTCTCCTGCTGCCTCGTATCAGGTACATGTCCATCCAAGCCCTTGATGACGTCGTCCTGGGCCCATCATCCTCTCGTCTTTTCCTTGCCGCTGCCTGCAGTGACGGATCTGTAAGGTGGGTACACACACAGTGTAGTAAAGGATCAGCTCTTTATTTAGGACTTACTGAACTCTCTAAGCTACAATAGATGTTCTGATTTCATCCATGTAAATGTTATTTTCAGTCACTGATGATTCTGATGGAAAACAATGATATGTGTAGCTTAGTGGGCAGCACAGTGGCTCAATGGTTATCCCTTCCTCCTGGCAGTACTAGGGGTCGTCAGTTCAAATCCCAACCATGGCACTACCTGCCTGGAGTTTGCATGTTCTCCCTGTGCCTATGTGGGTTTCCTCCGAGTACTCCGGTTTCCTCCTACACTCCAAAGACATGCTGGTAGGTGAGTTGGCTCCTGTCTATATTGGCCTATATTGGCCCTAGTATGTGTATGTATGAATGTGAGTTCGCCCTTTTTTAATTTCTAACCTAAAGTTCCACGTTAAGCCCTCATGCCGCTGGTAATGTTAGCTGTGTAAAGTCACGTTAAAAAATTGAGTTTTTTAGCTGTTTTGCATTAGCGTTTAGCGGAGGTGTTTTCCGCGTTAGCGTTTTTTAGCATTTTGTTTTACCAAAAAAACAAACAAACTTTTTATTTGGTAAAAAATAACATCCAAAAACTTTGAGTGTTACTAATCCCACAACAGTACAATCAGTCTGTAGATGCAGTAAAGCATGCTTGTTATACTCACTGTGGAACCTAAGGAGTTATTCCTTTGAATTATGTGATCCTTTCTTCTTTATTCCTCCCCTTTTTCAAGAGACCACCTCTTATCTCCTGATAAGACAGAGTGAACCGTAGGCATTTGCACATGCTCAGTTTGGTGTGTATTGCTAGAGAGGTTTTTTTTTTCTTCTTTTTCTTGGGAGAGTGCATGTTATCAGCACAGGGCCAATCAGCACTGTCCAGACAGAGGTTAGGGGTTAAGCATCCTGCTAGAGCAGACAGAAAACTCCTCCTACCAGCTTTAGCTAGTGCTGGGCTGGACACTGATAGAAGTCACAAACTGCCATATACTGCTGATGAGAAAAGGTCGTTTAGCCAATTATATTTACTAAAATAATTGCATTTCCAGGTTGTGTGTCCTGTGGGAGACCAGATATAGTGAATGCAGGGTCCTGGGAGAGCAGATATAGTGAATGCAGGGTCCGGGAGACCGATATAGTGAATGCGGGGTCCGGGGAGACCGGATATAGTGAATGCAGGGTCCGGGGAGAGCGATATAGTGACTGCAGGGTCCAGGGAGACCAGATATAGTGAATGCAGTGTCCTGTGGGAGACCAGATATAGTGAATGCAGGGTCCAGGGAGACCAGATATAGTGAATGCAGGGTCCAGGGAGACCAGATATAGTGAATGCAGTGTCCTGTGGGAGACCAGATATAGTGAATGCGGGGTCCGGGGAGACCGGATATAGTGAATGCCGGGTCCGCGGAGAGCGGATATAGTGACTGCAGGGTCCAGGGAGACCAGATATAGTGAATGCAAGGTCCGGGGAGACCAGATACAGTAAATGCAAGGTCCGGGGAGACCGGATATAGTGAATGCAGGGTCCGGGGAGACCAGATATAGTGAATGCAGAGTCCGGGGAGACCGGATATAGTGAATGCAGGGTCCGGGGAGACCAGATATAGTGAATGCAGGGTCCGGGGAGACCAGATATAGTGAATGCAGGGTCCGGGGAGACCAGATATAGTGAATGCAGGGTCCGGGGAGACCGGATATAGTGAATGCAGGGTCCGGGGAGAGCGGATATAGTGAATGCAGGGTCCGGGGAGACCGGATATAGTGAATGCAGGGTCCCGGAAGAGCGGATATAGTGAATGCAGGGTCCGGGGAGAGGCGGATATAGTGAAATGCAGGGTCCGGGGAGAGCGGATATAGTGAATGCAGGGTCCAGGGAGAGAGGATATAGTAAATGCAGGGTCCGGAGAGAGCGGATATAGTGAATGCAGGGTCCGGGGAGAGCGGATATAGTGAATGCAGGGTCCGGGGAGAGCGGATATAGTGAATGCGGGGTCCGGGGAGAGCGGATATAGTGAATGCGGGGTTCGGGGAGACCAGATATAGTGAATGCAGGGTCCGGGGAGACCAGATATAGTGAATGCAGGGTCCGGGGAGAGCGGATATAGTGAATGCAGGGTCTGGGGAGACCAGATATAGTGAATGCAGGGTCCGGGGAGACCAGATATAGTGAATGCAGGGTCCGGGAGAGCGGATATAGTGAATGCGGGGTCCGGGGAGAGCGGATATAGTACCCGAAGGAAACCCACACAGGCACAAGGAGAACATGTAAACTCCAGGCAGGTGGTGCCATGGCTTGGATTCCAACCAACGACCTGAGTACTGCCAGGTGGAAGTGCTAACCATTGAGACCACTGTGCTGCCCAATATAATTTATTTATTTATTTATTTTCAGGTTTTTCATGATGTGTGAGAATTTGCGGAAGATAATTCTTGTAGCGGAGACCTTCTATCACCAGCGATGTGTGCTGAAGATGGAGGCTTTTGTACAGCGATCTGCAGACTCTGAGAGGTGGAGATCCATGAAACGTTCTGTAGTAATGACTGAGCACCTCACCTCCTTATGGGCCACAATCCCTGTCCAGTACCAGATGTCCACCCTTGGCGGTGGTGAAGCCATATTTGTGTTGCTTCATGCCCATGCTTCTGTCCACTTCCTGTATTTCACTGAACATAAACGAAATGTAACTTTGAAATGTCATTGCTTCCATTGGACCTGCCACATTGTACCATTTGTACGCAAAAAAAAAAAATCACTTTTTTTGAGTTCCCATGTTCAATACATTCCCCGTTAGGGATGCTCTCAGATGAGTTTGGATATAAATCCAACATTTCATACTCCTTATATATGCCTGCCGTAGCATGTTTTGGATACAAGTCTGAACCTGCCTGAGCTAACCCTTTCAAAGCCGACAGCCAATCATAGGTGTTAGACACTTTCTCCTACCTGCAGCTGCACATATGCCAGGGGAGTGCAGCTGCGCGTATGCCAGGGGCGAGTGCAGCTGCGCGTATGCCAGGGGAGTGCAGCTGCCCGTATGCCCAAGGGGAGGGGAGTGCAGCTGCACGTTTGCCAGGGGAGTGCAGCTGCACGTATGCCAGGGGTGTGCAGCTGCACGTATGCCAGGGGTGTGCAGCTGCACGTATGCCAGGGGTGTGCAGCTGCAGGGCAGGTAATGCCTCTGCCACCTAGCTTTCCGGCAGGATGGCTCAGACGCCTGAGCACATCACCGATCCCAATCTTTATTTCATTTCCATATGTCCCTACACCAAGAAGACAAGGCACTACTGCCATGTCTCTAATCATTGAACTCACCCCATTTAAAAGCCCTTAATGTCTCCATGGCTCCAACGGAACAGATAATACTTCCTGTGTTCACTGTTAAACTGCCTTTGCTTGTACCTGTGCTAAAAAAAAAATGCTAAAAATTTAATTTGGGTACAGTGTTGCATGACCGCGCAATTCTCATTCAAAGTGTGATAGTGCTGAAAATTGGGCTGGACTGGAAGGGGGGTGAAAGTGTCCGGACTTGAAGTGGTTAACAATCATTATTATTAATTATTATTAATTGGACTGAAAGCTCTCAAAGAAGGAGGGACAGACCGAGAGAGTAAAGAAATAACAGGAAAAAGAGTGCCAATTGAGCCAAAACCATTTTTTATATGCAAAATCTTTTTTGAGAATCTTTTTTGTTGTGCATCATCTCCCATCGGCCATGGTGTGTAAAATTGCCCAGGTGTGAGCGGGGACTAAATGTCCTTTATATTCCCAGCCACGGCACCACCTGCCTGGAGTTTGCATGTTCTCCCTGTGCCTGCGTGGGGTTTCCTCCGGGTACTCCGGTTTCCTCCCACACTCCAAAGACATGCTGGTAGGTGAATTGGCTCCTGTCTAAATTGTCCCCCCCTGGTATGTGTATGTATGAATGTGAGTTAGGGACCTTAGATTGTACACCCCTTGAGGGTTAGGGACCTTAGATTGTACACCCCTTGAGGGTTAGGGACCTTAGATTGTACACCCCTTGAGGGTTAGGGACTGATGTGAATGTACAATATATATGTAAAGTGCTGTGTAAATTGATGGCGCTATATAAGTACCTGAAATAAATAAATAATAATATTCCTAATTGTCTGACACATTTATGTAAGTAACACACTCAGTAATATGTTTTTGTTTTTTACTGCAGAGTCTGGCTGTGCAGCGCCTCCACTGATGGCCGCATTGCATTCTGGGATGTAACCAGCACTGTAAATTGTGCTCACAAGATGATGGACAATGAATACGCTGATGGACAGCCTCGGGGTGAGTCCCCTTCCCCATCTTGTTCATGTTTTTCTTTCTTGTTACTTATAAATGACGAATGATCTATGCATGTCCCACCACTCCAGAGCTTCCCTGTAACTCTCAATTACCATGGACCAGGTGGGTGCCGGGGAGCCCAGGAGCCCGCTCCCACTTCTCGCCATCTGATGACGTCTTCTGATTAACTTTCTTAGATAAGCGATCACATATATTAGGGCAGCATGATGGCTAAATGGTTATCTTCCGCAAATTCTCACACATCATGAAAAACCTAAAAAAAATCATGAAATAAAAAAAAAATTTATATTGGGCAGCACAGTGGCTAAATGATTAGCACTTCCGCCTGGCAGTACTCGGGTCGTTGGTTCAAATCCCAGCCATGGCACCACCTGCCTGGAGTTTGCATGTTCTCCCTGTGCCTGCATGGGTTTCCTCCGGGTACTCCGGTTTCCTCCCACACTTCCAAAGACATGCTGGTAGGTGAATTGGATCCTGTCTAAATTGTCCCTAGTATGTGTATGTATGAATGTGTCAGGAATAGGACTTGCCAATAATTGTACTCACCTGCCTTGAGGGTTGCAGGACCAGGGATGGCCACGGGTGCTCTTGAGCAATCAGAGACCTTAGATTGCAGTACCAAACCCCTTGAGGCTGATTGCAGGGACCTTAGGGATGGCCAGACCTGCAGTCTGTGCCTTGGTGTGTGTTTTTTTTTTTTTTCTTTTTCCCATGGGCCCCTGTATCTTGTTACCTGCATTCCTGTTTGCCCCTATTGAGGGTGTTTCCTGCCTGACTGGTTAGGGACCTTAGATTGCTACTCTCCTTTTTTGAGGCTTGTGAGGGACCATTAGATCTGTACGCCCCCTACCTGCCCCTTAGTTGCTGTACCCGGCTCGTGACCTGAGACTCTCTGCCCTACTCCCCTGTTCCTACCTGCCCGATTGTTATTGACCCGGCCTGCCTGATTACGCTTGCATTGTATGTATTGTTATCTGTGGGTGGTTTGAGTTTGGTTCGTTTGCACTGTGTTATGTTTTTAGTATTGCACTGCTTTTGTATTGTTAGTATTAATAAATTACATTGTTTATCCATATCTGAAGCCTGCGTTTCCCTGCGTCAGTTCACATACCTCTGGTCATACCGGAGCCCTGACAGAATGTGTTAGGGATCTTAGATTGTACTCCCCTTGAGGGTTAGGGACTGATGTGACTGTACAATATATATGTAAAGTGCTGCGTAAATTGATGGCGCTATATAAGTACCTGAAATAAATAAACATACAGCACACACTAACTAATGTCACGCCACTAACGCATTTCACCCATAACTTGGTTTATTAATAGAGCGTTATGATTAAGCCCAGCTATGGGAGAAACGCGTTAGGGCGTGGCTTTAGGCTGAAGGACCTCAATTTGTGCTCGTTTAGCCAATAAAGTTAAGCAGAAAATATCGGTGTGCGGCCTGTTTTCTCTGATACTATAAATGACGGTTTCATAGGTCGCCTATCACAAAATCAAACCATTTCTCTCTTCCTGTGGTTTTAAAGCTCAGACAATAAAAATTTGAACAAAATTTATCCCTCTATAGCAGTGGTCTCCAAACTGTGGCCTGGGGTCCCGGATGTGGCCCTTTGCTTAGTTTTATCCAGCCCTTGGGGCACAGTTCCATTCACTGACTCCAACATTGGGACATCTATCCTGCCACTGACACCAACAATGGGGCACAAATCCCCCCATTTACACGAATATAGTATACAATTCTGCCCAATATCACCAACAGTGGGGCACTATTCCTCCCAATGACATCAACAATGGGGCACTATTCCTCCCAATGACATCTAACGATGGGGCACTATTCCTCCCAATGACATCAACGACGGCACTATTCCTCCCCAATGACATCAACGATGGGGCACTATTCCTCCCAATGACACCAATGATGTAGCACTATTCCTCCCAATGACATCAACGATGGGGCACTATTCCTCCCAATGACACCAATGATGGGGCACTATTCCTCTCAATGACATCAACAATGGGGCACTATTGCTCTCAATGACATCAACGATGGGGCACTATTCCTCCCACTGATACCAATGATGGGGCACTATTCCTCTCAATGACATCAACGATGGGGCACTATTCCTCTCATGACATCAACGATGGGGCACTATTCCTCTCAATGACATCAACAATGGGGGCACTATTCCTCCCACTGATACCAATGATGGGGCACTATTCCTCCCATGATACCAATGATGGGGCACATTCCTCCCACTGATACCAATGATGGGGCACTATTCCTCTCAATGACATCAACGATGGGGCACTATTCCTCCCAATGACATCAACAATGGGGCACTATTTCTCTCGCTGACCCTACAATAGGGTACAATTCCTTCCAAAAACACAAACGATAGGACACACTTCCTTCCACTGACACCAGCAGTGGGAACTATTCATTCCACTGACACCTACAGTAGAGCACAATTCCTCTCACTGACACCAGTGCTGGGATACAATTCCTTCCAATGACACCAACCATGGGGCACCATTACTCCAATTAACACCAATTGTGGGGCACTGTTCCTCCCACTGACACCAATGAGAAGCCACTTTTTTCTTAACACCTTCCCGCCTGGCCTATAGCAGATTGACGGCCGGGCGGGACACTCCTCGTTGTGACTGGGCATCATACGACGTCCTCTCAAAATGAGCCGCTCATGCGGCCACGGGACTGCGCTGCGGCGCGATCTGTCACCGGCTGTTTCCACGGGACACAGCCGATGACTTATCGCTACACCGGCCTGTTGCCAGTGTCACGTGACCACTGTGACCAATCACAGCAGATCACGTCAATTGTATACGATGGATGGTTTTCTGTCATGCTATCCATTGTATACAATTGTATTGTTAGCTGTTACAGGTCAAGGCAGTCACATGATACAGACAGGGCCAATCACAGCCCATCTGTATCATGTGATCAGCTTTGCCCAATCACAGCTAATCACAACAAAAGACTGAATGAATCCGTTTCATTGCAAATATCAATGAAATACATTGGTATTAGCAGTCATAATGTGTTAAAAAAAAAAAAAAAAAAAACAAATCCTGATCACTTGCCCAGAGTAGTTCAGTGTTTCTATGGTAACATTGTATTGCTTTGGTCACAGTGTGTTGAAAAATAAAATGAAAAAATGTAATAAAAAAAAAATAATAGAAACATCTGAAAAAAAAATGCAAATTCAATTATTATTATTATTA